ATAAAATAAACTTCACTATTATTTCTCATTTTATTTTTTTTTCACATTTGCATCTACAATGTCAAAGAGTTGTCTTGGTACAGGTCCAATAAAAATGATAAGGCCTAAATATTTTCCCATGAAAACATGTCTGAACGTTTTTTAAATCATTCGACAAAAGTGTTTATAATATGATAAATACTCCGAGCTCTCTGATTTTTCAAGATCTAGCATTGTGGAGAAAAAAATCAGGTTATGTTCACCTGCATGTGATCTTCCTGGTGAAAATTACGAACATTTACTTCTTGCTATGTCAGACGAAAAGTAGATCGGGAAAAATCCAAACTGATTAAAATATTTTGGAAATGTATTTTTTTTTTTTTTTGCACTCGATTTACACTCAGGTGAATAAATATTGTGGTAACAATCATGCACATAAAAAACAAATCCGGGGGTTGCATGGTGGGGGGGGGGTTCTCTCCGCATTTTTTCTGAATGTTTATTTTCACTGTTAACATTAGCATGCATTGATGCTGGGGGGGGGGGGGTTGTTAGAATAACTTGACAAGCAATTAGATAAATAATGTAGGTGTGCATGTGAAATACGGTACTTTTCAGAACTTCCAAAATTTTGTAAAAAGAGATACATGTGTGTATTTATTTCTATATATGCTTTATTACATATATTCTTATAATTTTTTTGGTGGTGGTGGTGGGAGGGAGGGGGATGTTACAACAGTATTAACAAGTTATCGGTCTTTTCAACGCATAACAAAAAAAGAGAATGTCGGATATATGTCTTTGCAAGTAATGTAGCTTTGTTAGCTGAACTTGTGTCACTTTTCTTCCAAGAAGTTCTGGGTGTACAATAAATGATAAAAATACCCCGGATTTAGATCTGACATTGTTGTGGTTTAACAATTCTTTCATTCAGTTTTGATTGCTGTTAATTCCTGTGCAGTTTTTTTTTTTTTTTTTGACATGTGATTAAGTTCAATCAATTTTCGCCAAGACTTCGGATTAAAAAAAACACATTTCATTCCGCATATCCAAGAGACCACTATGACGTCACAGTCAAAAAATTCATTGTTCCAACAATACTTCAATCAAACGCTAAAAAGTCATTTATGCATCGATTTTAAAGCGGTTTTCGGTGTTGGGTTCGATTTAACACCCTTTTCCGCATCGAATGAAACTATTTTCAACATTTGGACACTTCAAATAACCTCAAAATAAGGGTCTCCTATATGCCTTATTTTGCTTCCATCATTTTTGCCCTAGGCCCAGTAATCTCAAATTTATCCCCATTAAGCAACAAATCAATCACAGATCATATCTCGGACACCTAGATGTATATGTATTTTGTACACTACTTACCAAGTTTTGAAGGTCTGCGCTCTTGTCTGGTCACAGTGACAATTCTCTACACAGCCCTACGTATAGTCTTATCACTACGCTCTGTACAGGCATGCGCCCAGGGAAATAATTTGGCTTACACTGTATTAGAAAATGAACTACACCATCTGAAAGAGCATAAAATTCTGAGTCAAATAAGTGTTTCAAGTACCAAATTCGACCAAAAATGACCGAGATATGATCATTTAAAGAATTCCATCCCGTCACTCTTAGTAACGATTCATTCCGCATATCCAAGAGACCACTATGACGTCACAGTCAAAAAATTCATTGTTCCAACAATACTTCAATCAAACGCTAAAAAGTCATTTATGCATCGATTTTAAAGCGGTTTTCGGTGTTGGGTTCGATTTAACACCCTTTTCCGCATCGAATGAAACTATTTTCAACATTTGGACACTTCAAATAACCTCAAAATAAGGGTCTCCTATATGCCTTATTTTGCTTCCATCATTTTTGCCCTAGGCCCAGTAATCTCAAATTTATCCCCATTAAGCAACAAATCAATCACAGATCATATCTCGGACACCTAGATGTATATGTATTTTGTACACTACTTACCAAGTTTTGAAGGTCTGCGCTCTTGTCTGGTCACAGTGACAATTCTCTACACAGCCCTACGTATAGTCTTATCACTACGCTCTGTACAGGCATGCGCCCAGGGAAATAATTTGGCTTACACTGTATTAGAAAATGAACTACACCATCTGAAAGAGCATAAAATTCTGAGTCAAATAAGTGTTTCAAGTACCAAATTCGACCAAAAATGACCGAGATATGATCATTTAAAGAATTCCATCCCGTCACTCTTAGTAACGATTCATTCCGCATATCCAAGAGACCACTATGACGTCACAGTCAAAAAATTCATTGTTCCAACAATACTTCAATCAAACGCTAAAAAGTCATTTATGCATCGATTTTAAAGCGGTTTTCGGTGTTGGGTTCCATTTAACACCCTTTTCCGCATCGAATGAAACTATTTTCAACATTTGGACACTTCAAATAACCTCAAAATAAGGGTCTCCTATATGCCTTATTTTGCTTCCATCATTTTTGCCCTAGGCCCAGTAATCTCAAATTTATCCCCATTAAGCAACAAATCAATCACAGATCATATCTCGGACACCTAGATGTATATGTATTTTGTACACTACTTACCAAGTTTTGAAGGTCTGCGCTCTTGTCTGGTCACAGTGACAATTCTCTACACAGCCCTACGTCTAGTCTTATCAATACGCTCTGTAGAGGCATGCGCCCAGGCAAATAATTTGGCTTACATTGTATTAGAAAATGAACTACACCATCTGAAAGAGCATAAAATTCTGAGTCAAATAAGTGTTTCAAGTACCAAATTCGACCAAAAATGACCGAGATATGATCATTTAAAGAATTCCATCCCGTCACTCCTAGTAACGATTCATTCCGCATATCCAAGAGACCACTATGACGTCACAGTCAAAAAATTCATTGTTCCAACAATACTTCAATCAAACGCTAAAAAGTCATTTATGCATCGATTTTAAAGCGGTTTTCGGTGTTGGGTTCCATTTAACACCCTTTTCCGCATCGAATGAAACTATTTTCAACATTTGGACACTTCAAATAACCTCAAAATAAGGGTCTCCTATACAGCTTATTTTACTTCCATCATTTTTGCCCTAGGCCCAGTAATCTCAAATTTATCCCCCTTAAGCGACAAATCAATCACAGATCATATCTCGGACACCTAGATGTATATGTATTTTGTACACTACTTACCAAGTTTTGAAGGTCTGCGCTCTTGTCTGGTCACAGTGACAATTCTCTACACAGCCCTACGTCTAGTCTTATCAATACGCTCTGTAGAGGCATGCGCCCAGGCAAATAATTTGGCTTACATTGTATTAGAAAATGAACTACACCATCTGAAAGAGCATAAAATTCTGAGTCAAATAAGTGTTTCAAGTACCAAATTCGACCAAAAATGACCGAGATATGATCATTTAAAGAATTCCATCCCGTCACTCCTAGTAACGATTCATTCCGCATATCCAAGAGACCACTATGACGTCACAGTCAAAAAATTCATTGTTCCAACAATACTTCAATCAAACGCTAAAAAGTCATTTATGCATCGATTTTAAAGCGGTTTTCGGTGTTGGGTTCGGTTTAACCCCCTTTTCCGCATCGAATGAAACTATTTTCAATATTCCGACACTTCAAATAACCTCAAAATAAGGGTCTCCTATACAGCTTATTTTACTTCCATCATTTTTGCCCTAGGCCCAGTAATCTCAAATTTATCCCCCTTAAGCGACAAATCAATCACAGATCATATCTCGCACACCTAGATGTATATGTATTTTGTACACTACTTATCAAGTTTTGAAGGTCTGCGCTCTTGTCTGGTCACAGTGACAATTCTCTACACAGCCCTACGTCTAGTCTTATCAATACGCTCTGTAGAGGCATGCGCCCAGGCAAATAATTTGGCTTACATTGTATTAGAAAATGAACTACACCATCTGAAAGAGCATAAAATTCTGAGTCAAATAAGTGTTTCAAGTACCAAATTCGACCAAAAATGACCGAGATATGATCATTTAAAGAATTCCATCCCGTCACTCCTAGTAACGATTCATTCCGCATATCCAAGAGACCACTATGACGTCACAGTCAAAAAATTCATTGTTCCAACAATACTTCAATCAAACGCTAAAAAGTCATTTATGCATCGATTTTAAAGCGGTTTTCGGTGTTGGGTTCGGTTTAACCCCCTTTTCCGCATCGAATGAAACTATTTTCAATATTCCGACACTTCAAATAACCTCAAAATAAGGGTCTCCTATACAGCTTATTTTACTTCCATCATTTTTGCCCTAGGCCCAGTAATCTCAAATTTATCCCCCTTAAGCGACAAATCAATCACAGATCATATCTCGCACACCTAGATGTATATGTATTTTGTACACTACTTACCAAGTTTTGAAGGTCTGCGCTCTTGTCTGGTCACAGTGACAATTCTCTACACAGCCCTACGTCTAGTCTTATCAATACGCTCTGTAGAGGCATGCGCCCAGGCAAATAATTTGGCTTACATTGTATTAGAAAATGAACTACACCATCTGAAAGAGCATAAAATTCTGAGTCAAATAAGTGTTTCAAGTACCAAATTCGACCAAAAATGACCGAGATATGATCATTTAAAGAATTCCATCCCGTCACTCCTAGTATCGACGATTCATTCCGCATTCCAATAACCTCAAAATAACGGTCTCCTATACAGCTTAAAAAATTCCATCATTTTTGCCCTAGGCCCAGTACTCTCAAATTTAGCCCCATTAAGCCACAACTCAATCCCAGATCATATCGCGGACACCTAGATGTATATGTATTTTGTACACTACTTACCAAGTTTTGAAGGTCTGCGCTCTTGTCTGGTCACGATGACAATTCTCACACAGCCCTACCGCATATCCAAGAGACCACTACACCATCTAAAGAGCATAAAATTCGTCACAGTCAAAAAAAGAATTCATTGTTCCAATCAATAACAATTTCAATCAAACGCTAAAAAGTCATTTATGCATCGATTTTAAAGCGGTTTTCGGTGTTGGGTTCGGTTTAACCCCCTTTTCCGCATCGAATGAAACTATTTTCAATATTCCGACACTTCAAATAACCTCAAAATAAGGGTCTCCTATACAGCTTATTTTACTTCCATCATTTTTGCCCTAGGCCCAGTAATCTCAAATTTATCCCCCTTAAGCGACAAATCAATCACAGATCATATCTCGCACACCTAGATGTATATGTATTTTGTACACTACTTACCAAGTTTTGAAGGTCTGCGCTCTTGTCTGGTCACAGTGACAATTCTCTACACAGCCCTACGTCTAGTCTTATCAATACGCTCTGTAGAGGCATGCGCCCAGGCAAATAATTTGGCTTACATTGTATTAGAAAATGAACTACACCATCTGAAAGAGCATAAAATTCTGAGTCAAATAAGTGTTTCAAGTACCAAATTCGACCAAAAATGACCGAGATATGATCATTTAAAGAATTCCATCCCGTCACTCCTAGTAACGATTCATTCCGCATATCCAAGAGACCACTATGACGTCACAGTCAAAAAATTCATTGTTCCAACAATACTTCAATCAAACGCTAAAAAGTCATTTATGCATCGATTTTAAAGCGGTTTTCGGTGTTGGGTTCGGTTTAACCCCCTTTTCCGCATCGAATGAAACTATTTTCAATATTCCGACACTTCAAATAACCTCAAAATAAGGGTCTCCTATACAGCTTATTTTACTTCCATCATTTTTGCCCTAGGCCCAGTAATCTCAAATTTATCCCCCTTAAGCGACAAATCAATCACAGATCATATCTCGCACACCTAGATGTATATGTATTTTGTACACTACTTACCAAGTTTTGAAGGTCTGCGCTCTTGTCTGGTCACAGTGACAATTCTCTACACAGCCCTACGTCTAGTCTTATCAATACGCTCTGTAGAGGCATGCGCCCAGGCAAATAATTTGGCTTACATTGTATTAGAAAATGAACTACACCATCTGAAAGAGCATAAAATTCTGAGTCAAATAAGTGTTTCAAGTACCAAATTCGACCAAAAATGACCGAGATATGATCATTTAAAGAATTCCATCCCGTCACTCCTAGTAACGATTCATTCCGCATATCCAAGAGACCACTATGACGTCACAGTCAAAAAAATTCATTGTTCCAACAATACTTCAATCAAACGCTAAAAAGTCATTTATGCATCGATTTTAAAGCGGTTTTCGGTGTTGGGTTCGGTTTAACCCCCTTTTCCGCATCGAATGAAACTATTTTCAATATTCCGACACTTCAAATAACCTCAAAATAAGGGTCTCCTATACAGCTTATTTTACTTCCATCATTTTTGCCCTAGGCCCAGTAATCTCAAATTTATCCCCCTTAAGCGACAAATCAATCACAGATCATATCTCGCACACCTAGATGTATATGTATTTTGTACACTACTTACCAAGTTTTGAAGGTCTGCGCTCTTGTCTGGTCACAGTGACAATTCTCTACACAGCCCTACGTCTAGTCTTATCAATACGCTCTGTAGAGGCATGCGCCCAGGCAAATAATTTGGCTTACATTGTATTAGAAAATGAACTACACCATCTGAAAGAGCATAAAATTCTGAGTCAAATAAGTGTTTCAAGTACCAAATTCGACCAAAAATGACCGAGATATGATCATTTAAAGAATTCCATCCCGTCACTCCTAGTAACGATTCATTCCGCATATCCAAGAGACCACTATGACGTCACAGTCAAAAAATTCATTGTTCCAACAATACTTCAATCAAACGCTAAAAAGTCATTTATGCATCGATTTTAAAGCGGTTTTCGGTGTTGGGTTCCATTTAACACCCTTTTCCGCATCGAATGAAACTATTTTCAACATTTGGACACTTCAAATAACCTCAAAATAAGGGTCTCCTATACAGCTTATTTTACTTCCATCATTTTTGCCCTAGGCCCAGTAATCTCAAATTTATCCCCCTTAAGCGACAAATCAATCACAGATCATATCTCGGACACCTAGATGTATATGTATTTTGTACACTACTTACCAAGTTTTGAAGGTCTGCGCTCTTGTCTGGTCACAGTGACAATTCTCTACACAGCCCTACGTCTAGTCTTATCAATACGCTCTGTACAGGCATGCGCCCAGGGAAATAATTTGGCTTACATTGTATTAGAAAATGAACTACACCATCTGAAAGAGCATAAAATTCTGAGTCAAATAAGTGTTTCAAGTACCAAATTCGACCAAAAATGACCGAGATATGATCATTTAAAGAATTCCATCCCGTCACTCCTAGTAACGATTCATTCCGCATATCCAAGAGACCACTATGACGTCACAGTCAAAAAATTCATTGTTCCAACAATACTTCAATCAAACGCTAAAAAGTCATTTATGCATCGATTTTAAAGCGGTTTTCGGTGTTGGGTTCCATTTAACACCCTTTTCCGCATCGAATGAAACTATTTTCAACATTTGGACACTTCAAATAACCTCAAAATAAGGGTCTCCTATATGCCTTATTTTGCTTCCATCATTTTTGCCCTAGGCCCAGTAATCTCAAATTTATCCCCATTAAGCAACAAATCAATCACAGATCATATCTCGGACACCTAGATGTATATGTATTTTGTACACTACTTACCAAGTTTTGAAGGTCTGCGCTCTTGTCTGGTCACAGTGACAATTCTCTACACAGCCCTACGTCTAGTCTTATCAATACGCTCTGTACAGGCATGCGCCCAGGCAAATAATTTGGCTTACATTGTATTAGAAAATGAACTACACCATCTGAAAGAGCATAAAATTCTGAGTCAAATAAGTGTTTCAAGTACCAAATTCGACCAAAAATGACCGAGATATGATCATTTAAAGAATTCCATCCCGTCACTCCTAGTAACGATTCATTCCGCATATCCAAGAGACCACTATGACGTCACAGTCAAAAAATTCATTGTTCCAACAATACTTCAATCAAACGCTAAAAAGTCATTTATGCATCGATTTTAAAGCGGTTTTCGGTGTTGGGTTCCATTTAACACCCTTTTCCGCATCGAATGAAACTATTTTCAACATTTGGACACTTCAAATAACCTCAAAATAAGGGTCTCCTATATGGCTTATTTTACTTCCATCATTTTTGCCCTAGGCCCAGTAATCTCAAATTTATCCCCATTAAGCAACAAATCAATCACAGATCATATCTCGGACACCTAGATGTATATGTATTTTGTACACTACTTACCAAGTTTTGAAGGTCTGCGCTCTTGTCTGGTCACAGTGACAATTCTCTACACAGCCCTACGTGTAGTCTTATCACTACGCTCTGTACAGGCATGCGCCCAGGGAAATAATTTGGCTTACACTGTATTAGAAAATGAACTACACCATCTGAAAGAGCATAAAATTCTGAGTCAAATAAGTGTTTCAAGTACCAAATTCGACCAAAAATGACCGAGATATGATCATTTAAAGAATTCCATCCCGTCACTCTTAGTAACGATTCATTCCGCATATCCAAGAGACCACTATGACGTCACAGTCAAAAAATTCATTGTTCCAACAATACTTCAATCAAACGCTAAAAAGTCATTTATGCATCGATTTTAAAGCGGTTTTCGGTGTTGGGTTCGGTTTAACACCCTTTTCCGCATGAAACTATTTTCAACATTTGGACACTTCAAATAACCTCAAAATAAGGGTCTCCTATATGCCTTATTTTGCTTCCATCATTCAAATAACCCCATTAAGCAACAAATCCTCAAAATAAGGGTCTCCTATATGCCTTATTTTGCTTCCATCATTTTTGCCCCAGGCCCAGTAATCTCAAATTTATCCCCATTAAGCAACAAATCAATCACAGATCATATCTCGGACACCTAGATGTATATGTATTTTGTACACTACTTACCAAGTTTTGAAGGTCTGCGCTCTTGTCTGGTCACAGTGACAATTCTCTACACAGCCCTACGTATAGTCTTATCACTACGCTCTGTACAGGCATGCGCCCAGGGAAATAATTTGGCTTACACTGTATTAGAAAATGAACTACACCATCTGAAAGAGCATAAAATTCTGAGTCAAATAAGTGTTTCAAGTACCAAATTCGACCAAAAATGACCGAGATATGATCATTTAAAGAATTCCATCCCGTCACTCTTAGTAACGATTCATTCCGCATATCCAAGAGACCACTATGACGTCACAGTCAAAAAATTCATTGTTCCAACAATACTTCAATCAAACGCTAAAAAGTCATTTATGCATCGATTTTAAAGCGGTTTTCGGTGTTGGGTTCCATTTAACACCCTTTTCCGCATCGAATGAAACTATTTTCAACATTTGGACACTTCAAATAACCTCAAAATAAGGGTCTCCTATATGCCTTATTTTGCTTCCATCATTTTTGCCCTAGGCCCAGTAATCTCAAATTTATCCCCATTAAGCAACAAATCAATCACAGATCATATCTCGGACACCTAGATGTATATGTATTTTGTACACTACTTACCAAGTTTTGAAGGTCTGCGCTCTTGTCTGGTCACAGTGACAATTCTCTACACAGCCCTACGTATAGTCTTATCACTACGCTCTGTACAGGCATGCGCCCAGGGAAATAATTTGGCTTACACTGTATTAGAAAATGAACTACACCATCTGAAAGAGCATAAAATTCTGAGTCAAATAAGTGTTTCAAGTACCAAATTCGACCAAAAATGACCGAGATATGATCATTTAAAGAATTCCATCCCGTCACTCTTAGTAACGATTCATTCCGCATATCCAAGAGACCACTATGACGTCACAGTCAAAAAATTCATTGTTCCAACAATACTTCAATCAAACGCTAAAAAGTCATTTATGCATCGATTTTAAAGCGGTTTTCGGTGTTGGGTTCGATTTAACACCCTTTTCCGCATCGAATGAAACTATTTTCAACATTTGGACACTTCAAATAACCTCAAAATAAGGGTCTCCTATATGCCTTATTTTGCTTCCATCATTTTTGCCCTAGGCCCAGTAATCTCAAATTTATCCCCATTAAGCAACAAATCAATCACAGATCATATCTCGGACACCTAGATGTATATGTATTTTGTACACTACTTACCAAGTTTTGAAGGTCTGCGCTCTTGTCTGGTCACAGTGACAATTCTCTACACAGCCCTACGTATAGTCTTATCACTACGCTCTGTACAGGCATGCGCCCAGGGAAATAATTTGGCTTACACTGTATTAGAAAATGAACTACACCATCTGAAAGAGCATAAAATTCTGAGTCAAATAAGTGTTTCAAGTACCAAATTCGACCAAAAATGACCGAGATATGATCATTTAAAGAATTCCATCCCGTCACTCTTAGTAACGATTCATTCCGCATATCCAAGAGACCACTATGACGTCACAGTCAAAAAATTCATTGTTCCAACAATACTTCAATCAAACGCTAAAAAGTCATTTATGCATCGATTTTAAAGCGGTTTTCGGTGTTGGGTTCGATTTAACACCCTTTTCCGCATCGAATGAAACTATTTTCAACATTTGGACACTTCAAATAACCTCAAAATAAGGGTCTCCTATATGCCTTATTTTGCTTCCATCATTTTTGCCCTAGGCCCAGTAATCTCAAATTTATCCCCATTAAGCAACAAATCAATCACAGATCATATCTCGGACACCTAGATGTATATGTATTTTGTACACTACTTACCAAGTTTTGAAGGTCTGCGCTCTTGTCTGGTCACAGTGACAATTCTCTACACAGCCCTACGTATAGTCTTATCACTACGCTCTGTACAGGCATGCGCCCAGGGAAATAATTTGGCTTACACTGTATTAGAAAATGAACTACACCATCTGAAAGAGCATAAAATTCTGAGTCAAATAAGTGTTTCAAGTACCAAATTCGACCAAAAATGACCGAGATATGATCATTTAAAGAATTCCATCCCGTCACTCTTAGTAACGATTCATTCCGCATATCCAAGAGACCACTATGACGTCACAGTCAAAAAATTCATTGTTCCAACAATACTTCAATCAAACGCTAAAAAGTCATTTATGCATCGATTTTAAAGCGGTTTTCGGTGTTGGGTTCGATTTAACACCCTTTTCCGCATCGAATGAAACTATTTTCAACATTTGGACACTTCAAATAACCCAAAAATAAGGGTCTCCTATATGCCTTATTTTGCTTCCATCATTTTTGCCCTAGGCCCAGTAATCTCAAATTTATCCCCATTAAGCAACAAATCAATCACAGATCATATCTCGGACACCTAGATGTATATGTATTTTGTACACTACTTACCAAGTTTTGAAGGTCTGCGCTCTTGTCTGGTCACAGTGACAATTCTCTACACAGCCCTACGTATAGTCTTATCACTACGCTCTGTACAGGCATGCGCCCAGGGAAATAATTTGGCTTACACTGTATTAGAAAATGAACTACACCATCTGAAAGAGCATAAAATTCTGAGTCAAATAAGTGTTTCAAGTACCAAATTCGACCAAAAATGACCGAGATATGATCATTTAAAGAATTCCATCCCGTCACTCTTAGTAACGATTCATTCCGCATATCCAAGAGACCACTATGACGTCACAGTCAAAAAATTCATTGTTCCAACAATACTTCAATCAAACGCTAAAAAGTCATTTATGCATCGATTTTAAAGCGGTTTTCGGTGTTGGGTTCGATTTAACACCCTTTTCCGCATCGAATGAAACTATTTTCAACATTTGGACACTTCAAATAACCTCAAAATAAGGGTCTCCTATATGCCTTATTTTGCTTCCATCATTTTTGCCCTAGGCCCAGTAATCTCAAATTTATCCCCATTAAGCAACAAATCAATCACAGATCATATCTCGGACACCTAGATGTATATGTATTTTGTACACTACTTACCAAGTTTTGAAGGTCTGCGCTCTTGTCTGGTCACAGTGACAATTCTCTACACAGCCCTACGTATAGTCTTATCACTACGCTCTGTACAGGCATGCGCCCAGGGAAATAATTTGGCTTACACTGTATTAGAAAATGAACTACACCATCTGAAAGAGCATAAAATTCTGAGTCAAATAAGTGTTTCAAGTACCAAATTCGACCAAAAATGACCGAGATATGATCATTTAAAGAATTCCATCCCGTCACTCTTAGTAACGATTCATTCCGCATATCCAAGAGACCACTATGACGTCACAGTCAAAAAATTCATTGTTCCAACAATACTTCAATCAAACGCTAAAAAGTCATTTATGCATCGATTTTAAAGCGGTTTTCGGTGTTGGGTTCGATTTAACACCCTTTTCCGCATCGAATGAAACTATTTTCAACATTTGGACACTTCAAATAACCTCAAAATAAGGGTCTCCTATATGCCTTATTTTGCTTCCATCATTTTTGCCCTAGGCCCAGTAATCTCAAATTTATCCCCATTAAGCAACAAATCAATCACACAGATCATATCTCGGACACCTAGATGTATATGTATTTTGTACACTACTTACCAAGTTTTGAAGGTCTGCGCTCTTGTCTGGTCACAGTGACAATTCTCTACACAGCCCTACGTATAGTCTTATCACTACGCTCTGTACAGGCATGCGCCCAGGGAAATAATTTGGCTTACACTGTATTAGAAAATGAACTACACCATCTGAAAGAGCATAAAATTCTGAGTCAAATAAGTGTTTCAAGTACCAAATTCGACCAAAAATGACCGAGATATGATCATTTAAAGAATTCCATCCCGTCACTCTTAGTAACGATTCATTCCGCATATCCAAGAGACCACTATGACGTCACAGTCAAAAAATTCATTGTTCCAACAATACTTCAATCAAACGCTAAAAAGTCATTTATGCATCGATTTTAAAGCGGTTTTCGGTGTTGGGTTCGATTTAACACCCTTTTCCGCATCGAATGAAACTATTTTCAACATTTGGACACTTCAAATAACCTGAAAATAAGGGTCTCCTATATGCCTTATTTTGCTTCCATCATTTTTGCCCTAGGCCCAGTAATCTCAAATTTATCCCCATTAAGCAACAAATCAATCACAGATCATATCTCGGACACCTAGATGTATATGTATTTTGTACACTACTTACCAAGTTTTGAAGGTCTGCGCTCTTGTCTGGTCACAGTGACAATTCTCTACACAGCCCTACGTATAGTCTTATCACTACGCTCTGTACAGGCATGCGCCCAGGGAAATAATTTGGCTTACACTGTATTAGAAAATGAACTACACCATCTGAAAGAGCATAAAATTCTGAGTCAAATAAGTGTTTCAAGTACCAAATTCGACCAAAAATGACCGAGATATGATCATTTAAAGAATTCCATCCCGTCACTCTTAGTAACGATTCATTCCGCATATCCAAGAGACCACTATGACGTCACAGTCAAAAAATTCATTGTTCCAACAATACTTCAATCAAACGCTAAAAAGTCATTTATGCATCGATTTTAAAGCGGTTTTCGGTGTTGGGTTCGATTTAACACCCTTTTCCGCATCGAATGAAACTATTTTCAACATTTGGACACTTCAAATAACCTCAAAATAAGGGTCTCCTATATGCCTTATTTTGCTTCCATCATTTTTGCCCTAGGCCCAGTAATCTCAAATTTATCCCCATTAAGCAACAAATCAATCACAGATCATATCTCGGACACCTAGATGTATATGTATTTTGTACACTACTTACCAAGTTTTGAAGGTCTGCGCTCTTGTCTGGTCACAGTGACAATTCTCTACACAGCCCTACGTATAGTCTTATCACTACGCTCTGTACAGGCATGCGCCCAGGGAAATAATTTGGCTTACACTGTATTAGAAAATGAACTACACCATCTGAAAGAGCATAAAATTCTGAGTCAAATAAGTGTTTCAAGTACCAAATTCGACCAAAAATGACCGAGATATGATCATTTAAAGAATTCCATCCCGTCACTCCTAGTAACGATTCATTCCGCATATCCAAGAGACCACTATGACGTCACAGTCAAAAAATTCATTGTTCCAACAATACTTCAATCAAACGCTAAAAAGTCATTTATGCATCGATTTTAAAGCGGTTTTCGGTGTTGGGTTCCATTTAACACCCTTTTCCGCATCGAATGAAACTATTTTCAACATTTGTTCAAATAACCTCAAAATAAGGGTCTCCTATATGCCTTATTTTGCTTCCATCATTTTTGCCCCAGGCCCAGTAATCTCAAATTTATCCCCCTTAAGCAACAAATCAATCACAGATCATATCTCGCACACCTAGATGTATATGTATTTTGTACACTACTTACCAAGTTTTGAAGGTCTCACACAGTGACAATTCAAAAAATCACTCATTGTTCCAACAATACTTCAATCAAACGCTAAAAAGTCATTTATGCATCGATTTTAAAGCGGTTTTCGGTGTTGGGTTCCATTTAACACCCTTTTCCGCATCGAATGAAACTATTTTCAACATTTGGACACTTCAAATAACCTTTTAAAGCGGTAATTCGGTGTTGGTCACAGTGAAATTTACACAGCCCCCTTATCACTACGCTCTGTACAGGCATGCGCCGCATCAAAATGAACTACACCATCTGAAAGAGCATAAAATTCTGAGTCAAATAAGTGTTTCAAGTACCAAATTCGACCAAAAATGACCGAGATATGATCATTTAAAGAATTCATCCCGTCACTCCTAGTAACATTCATTCCGCATATCCAAGAGACCACTATTCACAGTCAAAAAATTCATTGTTCCAACAATACTTCAATCAAACGCTAAACTTTATGCATCGATTTTAAAGCGGTTTTCGGTGTTGGGTTCGGTTTAACAATTATTTTCATTTTTGCTTCCATCATTTTTGCCCTAGGCCCAGTAATCTCAAATTTAACCTCAAAATAAGCAGTACAATTCTTCAATTTATGCATCATACGCTCTGTACAGGCATGCGCCCAGGGAAATAATTTGGCTTACATTGTATTAGAAAATGAACTACACCATCTGAAAGAGCATAAAATTCTGAGTCAAATAAGTGTTTCAAGTACCAAATCCGAGATATGATCATTTAAAGAATTCCATCCCGTCACTCTTAGTAACGATTCATTCCGCATATCCAAGAGACCACTATGACGTCACAGTCAAAAAATTCATTGTTCCAACAATACTTCAATCAAACGCTAAAAAGTCATTTATGCATCGATTTTAAAGCGGTTTTCGGTGTTGGGTTCGGTTTAACACCCTTTTCCGCATCAACATTTGGACACTTCAAATAACCTCAAAATAAGGGTCTCCTATATGCCTTATTTTGCTTCCATCATTTTTGCCCTAGGCCCAGTAATCTCAAATTTATCCCCATTAAGCAACAAATCAATCACAGATCATATCTCGGACACCTAGATGTATATGTATTTTGTACACTACTTACCAAGTTTTGAAGGTCTGCGCTCTTGTCTGGTCACAGTGACAATTCTCTACACAGCCCTACGTATAGTCTTATCAATACGCTCTGTAGAGGCATGCGCCCAGGGAAATAATTTGGCTTACACTGTATTAGAAAATGAACTACACCATCTGAAAGAGCATAAAATTCTGAGTCAAATAAGTGTTTCAAGTACCAAATTCGACCAAAAATGACCGAGATATGATCATTTAAAGAATTCCATCCCGTCACTCCTAGTAACGATTCATTTCCGCATATCCAAGAGACCACTACGTCACAGTCAAAAAATTCATTGTTCCAACAATACTTCAATCAAACGCTAAAAAGTCATTTATGCATCGATTTTAAAGCGGTTTTCGGTGTTGGGTTCGGTTTAACACCCTCAAAAAATTTTCAACATTTGGACACTTCAAATAACCTCAAAATAAGGGTTCATATGCCTTATTTTTATTTTTGCCCTAGGCCCAGTCAAATTTATCCCCCTTAAAACAAATCAATCACAGATCATATGCACCTAGATTATTGTATTTTGTACACTACTTACCAAGTTTTGAAGGTCTGCGCTCTTGTCTGGTCACAGTGACAATTCTCTACACAGCCCTACGTATAGTCTTATCACTACGCTCTGTACAGGCATGCGCCCAGGGAAATAATTTGGCTTACACTGTATTAGAAAATGAACTACACCATCTGAAAGAGCATAAAATTCTGAGTCAAATAAGTGTTTCAATGAAATCATTATTCCATTCACTCTTAGTAACTGTCACAGTCAAAAAATTCATTGTTCCAACAATACCCGCTAAAAAGTCAATTTTTAAAGCGGTTCCGCATATCCAAGAGACCAGGGAAATAATTTGGCAAAAAGTCATTTATGCAACTATTAGAAAATGAACTTCTCCTTTACAGCTTATTTTACTTCCATCATTTTTGCCCTAGGCCCAGTAATCTCAAATTTATCCCCCTTAAGCGACAAATCAATCACAGATCATATCTCGCACACCTAGATGTATATGTATTTTGTACACTACTTACCAAGTTTTGAAGGTCTGCGCTCTTGGTCACAGTGACAATTCTCTACACAGCCCTACGTCTAATCAATACGCTCTGTAGAGGCATGCGCCCACCTACACCATCTGAAAGAGCATAAAATTCTGAGTCAAATAAGTGTTTCAAGTACCAAATTCGACCAAAAATGACCGAGATATGATCATTTAAAGAATTCCATCCCGTCACTCTTAGTAACGATTCATTCCGCATATCCAAGAGACCACTATGACGTCACAGTCAAAAAATTCATTGTTCCAACAATACTTCAATCAAACGCTAAAAAGTCATTTATGCATCGATTTTAAAGCGGTTTTCGGTGTTGGGTTCCATTTAACACCCTTTTCCGCATCGAATGAAACTATTTTCAACATTTGGACACTTCAAATAACCTCAAAATAAGGGTCTCCTATATGCCTTATTTTGCTTCCATCATTTTTACCCTAGGCCCAGTAATCTCAAATTTATCCCCATTAAGATCATATCATTTATCCAGCCCTCACTCTTACGTTTGAAGGTTATAATATTTTGGCTTACACTATTTTTTTTTTTTGCACTCGATGTGTTACAAACGGGCAATCACAGTCATATCTCGCACACCTAGATGTATATGTATTTTGTACACTACTTACCAAGTTTTGAAGGTCTGCGCTCTTGTCTGGTCACAGTGACAATTCTCTACACAGCCCTACGTATAGTCTTATCACTACGCTCTGTACAGGCATGCGCCCAGGCCCAGGCTTACAATAATGTATTAGAAAATGAACTACACCATCTGAAAGAGCATAAAATTCTGAGTCAAATAAGTGTTTCAAGTACTAAATCTGAGACCAATGACGTCACAGTAAAAATCAAACGCTAAAAAGTCAAATTAAAGCGGTTTTCGGTGTTGGGTTCGTTTAACACCCTTTTCCGCACCAAATGAAACTATTCGATTTAACCTCAAAAATGACCTTCCATCATTTTTGCCCTAGATATTTATCCCCCTTAAGCAACAAATCAATCACCTTAATTTTGAATTCCAAGTTTTCCAGTAATACGCTCTGTAGAGGCATGCGCCCAGGCAAATAATTTGGCTTACATTGTATTAGAAAATGAACTACACCATCTGAAAGAGCATGAAATTTTGAGTCAAATAAGTGTTTCAAGTACCAAATTCGACCAAAAATGACCGAGATATGATCATTTAAAGAATTCCATCCCGTCACTCCTAGCAACGATTCATTCCGCATATCCAGGAGACCACTATGACGTCACAGTCAAAAAATTCATTGTTCCAACAATACTTCAATCAAACGCTAAAAAGTCATTTATGCATCGATTTTAAAGCGGTTTTCGGTGTTGGGTTCGATTTAACACCCTTTTCCGCATCGAATGAAACTATTTTCAACATTTGGACACTTCAAATAACCTCAAAATAAGGGTCTCCTATATGCCTTATTTTGCTTCCATCATTTTTGCCCTAGGCCCAGTAATCTCAAATTTATCCCCATTAAGCAACAAATCAATCACAGATCATATCTCGGACACCTAGATGTATATGTATTTTGTACACTACTTACCAAGTTTTGAAGGTCTGCGCTCTTGTCTGGTCACAGTGACAATTCTCTACACAGCCCTACGTAGTCTTATCACTACGCTCTGTACAGGCATGCGCCCAGGGAAATAATTTGGCTTACACTGTATTAGAAAATGAACTACACCATCTGAAAGAGCATAAAATTCTGAGTCAAATAAGTGTTTCAAGTACCAAATTCGACCAAAAATGACCGAGATATGATCATTTAAAGAATTCCATCCCGTCACTCTTAGTAACGATTCATTCCGCATATCCAAGAGACCACTATGACGTCACAGTCAAAAAATTCATTGTTCCAACAATACTTCAATCAAACGCTAAAAAGTCATTTATGCATCGATTTTAAAGCGGTTTTCGGTGTTGGGTTCGATTTAACACCCTTTTCCGCATCGAATGAAACTATTTTCAACATTTGGACACTTCAAATAACCTCAAAATAAGGGTCTCCTATATGCCTTATTTTGCTTCCATCATTTTTGCCCTAGGCCCAGTAATCTCAAATTTATCCCCATTAAGCAACAAATCAATCACAGATCATATCTCGGACACCTAGATGTATATGTATTTTGTACACTACTTACCAAGTTTTGAAGGTCTGCGCTC